TCTTTCCTACCAGGAGAGGCTGCAACGACTGGGATTGTTCAGTGGAAGCTATCGCAGACTACGAGGCGATCTGATTATGGCATACTTGATTCTGCGAGACCCAAATCATGTGTGCCGTCCTTTACTGTAACTCAGCAGCAATACAAACCTGAGGGGCCACTAATTAAAACTTGCAGAACAATACAGTCTTTTGGAGTGCCTCAGAAATGTCTTTTCCATTCGTGTCTGTCACCCGTGGAATGCTCTCCCAGAATCGGTCGTCTCTGCACCGACACTAACAGTATTTAAAAGACGGTTGGACGATGCACTCATCCACTTACACTTTGTTACGTAACACAACGTCTCCATCCTACATCTGGAGTTTACCATGGAATTATTTGTTGTCAACTGCGGGGGCTGTGAATATAAGAGGATCGCAGTACTACAGCGGAGCAAACGATAAGTCCTTATTTTCATATTTAAAACATTAACTATTTTACTATCCTTATCAGCATTATTGTTATGTTGATATCCCCACCAACTATCCAACGGGACTTGTAAAGCAACGCTTTTTAACCCGTATAAAATCATTGTTCATTGTTCATTCAACTATTGCAACATGGACTTTAAAGGGCTCGTCCAAACCGCAACTCAGACTGATTGTACACTACCACTGAATATGTCGCTTGAAGCCAGTTAGTCATCAGTGCAGCGGAAACTTGACTCACTGTCTACTCTGTTTGTTCCCCTGATGTATTCCAAAGTCAAACCTGTCGAACTGCATTGTTTGGAGGAGGAATATAGACAGCAATCGCAATGGCGTCGCAAACTTTGGAACAGACACATCACCTCGGGTTTTGGGGAAGAGTACATGGTGTATAGGAAACAGCATAACATATGTAACGCCGGAAAGATCAAGGAATTCCGGCATTTCGAAGCGGAGCTAGCAGCCCCGCCACAACCGCCCAAATATTTGCCTAGTTGCAACGTCAGCCAAAACCTGCGGACGACCTATCTATCTTAGAAGACTTGGATGGACGGTCGCATATTTCAAGCGCGGAGCAGGCGAGCTCATTGGCTTCGCAGTTCCTCACTTTATTTTCCAGGAAACCGGCGGCTATTCTAATACCGGCCCAGGTTAGGCCAATCATTCTCAACAGACTGCAATGTTATGCAGACGAAGTATGTCAGTTACTCCGTAACCTCGATTGTACAGAGCCCCCCCACCCCCCGAGACCAGGCGGACTTAACACACTAATACTTAAGTCCATATCGAATGTCATCTCGCCGGCCGTGATAAACCTATTCTATAAATCACTCTCTGAAGGAGCTCTCCCCAACAACCGGAAACGTTTGACAGTAAGACTGCTATCCAAGAATTCTGATCGGAGTAAACTAGAGAAATGCAAACCGATCTGTTTGACTTCGAACTTTTCCAAATTTCTGGAGAATGTTGTAAAAAAGTGTCTGTTGCCTTGCTTCACATCGATGAACCTATTGACGGCAGCACAACACGACTTCACGAAAGGGCGGTCTTACAACAACAACTTCATTTACGCAAACCACACTTGAAGCACCTACCCATACGGTTGGCAATAGTTTACCTGCGGGAGCTCTTGAGGACACCGTTACAAACTCGGAGTCCTATACATGAAGAAGATACCACTTCAACATTGTATAGAAGGAAGAATCGTCTACACTATCAGAATACACTACCAGAACAACTAATAGAGGCCGATTCTTCGAAGTGCTTCAAAACCTGTATCGACGACCAATTGGGAAAACTGTGCTTTTGTAAAACGATGCACATACATTGCAAAAACACATCCTATACCTAAAAAGAATGATCTCATTACGAACTCCTGACAGAAAAAGGTATACGAGTAATTGACTACACTCTGGCGTTGACAATCCGTAATTGACTGATTTGATTTTTCATAATTTGATAGTTGTACAGTAGATTGTCTGCATGCTTTAAATACAGTCTCAGTCACAACAGCATTTAACTTTTTCAGATGTTATCTCAGAAAAGGATACCGCGTTTAGGAGGAAAAACTGCCCTGTATGTAGCGAAAGAAGTTCCTACGTCCATAATGCGGATAAGAGATCACTATTGTTTCTTCGTGTTAAGTGATTGTGGATTAATCTCCAAAATCCACCGTGAGTGACCATATTCGTAGCCAGAAGCATTATGTGAAGAAAGTTGACAATGAATAGCAAAAAGATACATTTGTTGCCAAGGGGCGACCAGCTCCGGAAAAAGCTTAAAAGGAAAATATTGTTCGTTCTATTGCCGTTGCAGATGCTGCGCAAGTAGCTCTTGATACGGTGGTATCTTACTTTCTGCGTGCTATGGCATCTGCTAGTATTCGTATGGAGACGATCAACTACCCCGGTTTGCGGGCATTTCTTTGCATATTCACTTGAAATAGTGGAAGCGCTGCCGGATCAAATGCACTACGTCTGAAAATTCACCATCTATAAAGGAAACATGAACTGATATCGAATGAGAAGGTCCGTGATACTTTTGTCAATGTCATAACAGAGGAATCAAATGATGTACGCGAGAACATAGAACTGAATATCCTGTAATCCTCACCATGTCGACACGATCGACATGGAGAGAGTCATTTCTTCCACAGCTGGATGAGCTGTTCTACGCAGCTTGAGATTGATAAGTATCAACTTCAGCCAGTGACGGCTTTCGTTTTCCGTGTTCAAGGTTGCTGAAAATGCTACCGAGTAGTAATTAAGTCCTTTTTGTGAAGATGCAGTTCACATTAGATGTGCTGCCATAGCATCAATTTGATTACAGTGACCCTTTGCAAATTCCTCCACGAACTCGACGGATTCGTTGTAAAATTATTGGCGTTTTTGCCTTTTGTAAAAAAGGGACCTGTCTACATCGAGTATCTAATTGGAGCAGACGTAGATAACCCAACCTGCCCAACTGCACTGGTCGTCACCCGCTGAAACTCCTGGCTGTAAGTTTTCGCATTTCACAACAAGTATTTCTATCATTACCAGACTATGATGTGCCGTACAACAGGAGTTTGTCGACTCAGATGGGTTTTGTGAAGTTATGGAGATTGTAATCAACAAACCAACACAAGAAGCTTTGAAGTGTCAGCTTCCATTGCGCCCGTCGGCAGGAACATCATCTGTCTCTTGAGAACTGTCAAATCACAGTCTTCTTTAACCCATACGAATTACAACTACATATCCTATCTATCCATGTCGCTGAGTAAAACTGGCTTTAGCATTTTCAGGCAGTGGGACTGACACTCGGTGCGTCTAGCTAAATGCAAGCTGGTGTACAAATGCTTCTTTCAAGCTACCAGAAAATCTAGGAGTTGCTGACATGGCAGGCTAGCTAACAGTTTATGAAAGCCACTAGAGTATTAGATCTCCATCATCTGCTCGCCTTTTAACTGATCCATGCAGCTAAACCTACGTTCCATGCCTGTTTGGCTCTCTAGCTCTGGCAGATAAATGGCTAAACCATCGAAGAGTGGTTGGAAAACGACATGGCAAAAAATTAAAGCTTACCGGCCTTTTATTGCGGGATGCACGAAAGATTCCACAACTATTAGACATTGTCGGTCGTTATATATGCATACATGTGAACTCGGTAGACTTTGAACTGAGCAGTGGCGCCTACTAAAATGTTGTGTTGGGCAAGCTTCATAATTTTTTAGAGGTTAGCACGTAGCACCTTGTTAGGTTTTATTTCGATTCCACTGTTTTGGATGAAAACATGTATATGCGCTGGATACATTTGTCTGATTTTCTGTTCGTTTTTGTTTTCGCAGGGAAAGCGCTGAATTTTATGTTGAACGACAGATATTTCGCGAAATTTTAGATTTGATCACGGAAACTGTTCCACGCCACAGAAAATTAATGACATTATTTATAATACCTGCGTGGGTATATTTCATAAGTTGCATAGTGGTTAGCAATTCTGCTAGGTATATAGAGCACATTGCTCGACAGAACCGGCGATTTTTGGGTTTTGTTAGTGGGACAGCATCTGAATCTAACTTACTTGCCAGGAAGGTGTGTTCATTTTTCATTAAAGCGTTTAAACTATCCGTTTGATGGTGTTGCCGACTTTGTTACTCCAATTTACTTAAAGCGCGTTTTGTGTAGTATCCCGGAGCGATTTTCAAAACTCGACAGTGTAGGGTAACATCCATAACCTCAGATTTGTCCATATAAATAAAAAATGCGGTAACGAGATCACGATATTTATGGATCTGCAGTAGATAGTGTATGGAGTGATAAACAAGGGAAAAACAGCAGCGGCTGTTTCGAAGGCCTAACCAAATCTGTAGCTTTTCCAAGTTTATCGGTTGCCTTCCTCACTTTCGAGCAAGTACTTATCGCATTTCGAGGTAACTAGTAGGGATATATAAACAGAGATCTGTCGGTCATCATCCACAATTACTAATAGCCAGAGTTGAGTTGATTACTGTTAACATCCATTACACAGTTGAGTTGTGTAAACCATCAACAATATTTATACATGCACCCCCTATATTTTGAGATGTCTGTTACATCCAGCGAAGTAGATTTTTTGGAAATATTTTTACCAGCATACATATCCTTTCGTATAAACTCGAAACACTGACTTTATATAGACCAATCATTCTTATCGTTGCGATATTTACAGGCTCCGTTATGACGGCGTTTAACCTGATACACAACAATGGAGAGAGTAATACTCTCATACAAATTAGTGTGACGTGGTTCTGTGCCTTAGGAAGGTCCTCCTTTGATTGTTTCCGATAGTTATTCTCTTTTATTCTTTAGTATACGCTTGTTGTAGTTAAAAATCATTGTGCTTCACTATTTTTCACTAGCTGGGGACAGGGTAAATATTTACTTTCTCATTAGTCCACCCATACAGACGCCTTTGACAAAAGTAGTGCCTCGTTTCACTAAATGTCTTTTAGTATGCTCTGTAATCAGTTCCTTCCTTTTGGTGTGACTCGCCATGTTCGTATTATCTGCTGCTCCAGGTCTATCATCATACAGCCGCTCCAATGATCAGCTCAATCTTTCAAGGCTATATGGCCACCTGCTTCGCATATGGGCAAACAGGGTCAGGAAAGACTTTCACAATGGGCGGACCAAGATCCGGACCCAACCTATTGCCGATGGTAGAAGATGGTGTTTACGGCATGGTCGGTGAGTGTTTGGGTGTAGCGAATATGTTTCGCTTGCTTAGAGCTCTAAAAATTTTAATTCACTAGTGTGTGGTACTTGTACCGGAGATGTTCTACTGCTCTGATGGTTTTTGGTTAGCTTTTTTTCAGGTTTATGCGGACACTTAAATACAAGAGCTTCCGATCCAAAGAAAGGTTCTAGCAGTTTTGTCACTTAAATGTTGGTTCGTCCCATTCAATCCCGTCGCGCATATTGGGCCTGTTAGCCATTTAGCTTTACTACCATGTCATTTCATTCTCTACTTTTAGATGACACGTTAAAATTGATGCATTTAATGTGATGCACATATGTAGTTGAAATAACAGTGGTATAAGTCGTCTGGGTTGGCTTTCGTATTTGAGTTCATGATGGAGTAGCCAATCAGAATGCCAGCATGTTCCGCCTTTTTTGCTTTCCTTACATTCCGAGATCATTTAACGCATAACGTAACGGGACCCATGGGCGCCAGTACTGATTTGAAACCTACCACGCTCAATGTGCTTTATGCTGCACTTCGATGGCCTAAAGCCAAACTCTATGTCATAGTCAGAGGCAGGACAAAGGTTAACGGCTATGGCTTTTTAACTTTGCTATAAAAGACAACAGTTACACCTGATCGGCGTAGAGCACAAATGACACGCGAGGTTCCTTCTGTCAGAAACGCGCATCTACTGTTTACTGGATTGTTGCCGTCCGGCCAATTGCACAAAACTCTTATATAATAAAGTAAAACCTTGTATTAACCCGGTTGCAGCAGTCACAGATATGTGGCCTGCAAGGTACGGCGATCGATATAAACAGCACTAAACAATGCAAGTAAAATGTGACAGGATGCACGCGGATGATGTTGGGAATATTCAGCTAAATCCTGACAGCTCCGCACCACCTCATCCGATGGGCTACTGCATCAAACATACGGGTGGGAAATTTAAACAATTCTCCCCATTTTTCCTGGAAGCTCTCGGCGATAGTAGCCCCTGAATACCTTCAGCTATGTACGGTTCCTACTTTGTGCTTCGTCTCCGAGTTGCTTTCTAGGTTGGCAAGCTGAGACGAAACAAATCTAATTTTATCCGTGTATTCGGCTGTTACTCAAGGTAACAACTTAGTTTCATGCCATTTCACCCAACATTCGATCGAAATCAAACTACCTGTCATTGTTCATTGGCTTCAGCTCGGTGTGCACAGGCAGCACCGCAGTAAGTTTTGACCAACTGAAAATATTTCACGATGGTTTGCGTCTACAAAGTTGTGCCCACTAAAAAGAAGAAAATTTATGCTTAGACGGAGTCTGATAAAACAATAACAGCGTATGACTCGGAGTCAAACAGTCAAGATAACTAGGAGATCACAAACAATGAATGTGTGGACAATTTACGTACTGGCTGTGTGACAAACCTTAATTGCCAAAGCAAGCAATAAAGCCACTGTATTCTTGCCGATTTACTGAAGATATTTTGACATGTAGTGACGGACCCTACTCATTGCATGGTAGAAACATGTGTGATAATAATCGATACCACACTAGATGCGGCAGCTATAACTCAGGTACCTCCAAGCTATAGTCTACCAAGGCTCATTGGCACAAATTACTGATGTCAAGGTTAAAAGCTATGGGTCTGATCGCCTGCATGTAAACCGTCAATTAGGAGTACCAGTAACATGAGTGGCTATATTGTTCTCACTCTATAGGATTTGTATTCCTGCTGCCGGCTGTAGCGATTTTAAACCAAGTCAATTCATCGTGCTGTTCTAGTATACTTCCCTCGGTGGTCATCAAAGAAGTGTACTTTTGCTTGCCTACGTCTTCCCTGTGTTTGGCCAATGGTAAGTGACTTTCCAACTTCCTTTTCGTTACCTCTTTCGAATTATCCGGCATTAACCAGTGGAAGCAGATACATTAGCCCATCCTGGAATAATACAGGTTTGACATTAGCCTATATTTTTGTATCATACCAGCTTGGGAAACTGTGCCATTAATGTGAGTGGGCCGGTGTGCGTTCACAATAATCATAACTGCTCTGTGATGCCATCACATGACACACAGAATCGGGTAACAAACGATGTCACCACCAAAGTCTGTAATAGGAATATAAACGTCCATTCAGTGTGACGGTCGGTGACTAAGCAGAGACCTTTGAATCTTAACCAGTCATTCAAGACGACGCTGAGAAAAGGATGTCCCTTCCTCTTGTCGATACCTAGAAAACTGCGTGCAAATATGGAAATTTCTCAACGGCATGTGTTGTCCCGTTAGATTCATGGTATTACTGCCTGTATAAATACTCCGGTCACTCTACTCTGTTTATACGTGAAAATGAGTCTTTTCTTCGAGCGTGAGGTGGAGCACATTTAATTGCCAACTGTCCAATAGTAAATGTTGATCTATCTCCAAATGTCACACCACCCATGGGTATAGAACGACCATATGCATGCATATGGGTACATGTGTACCTGCCAGTGATGTTCACCATGAAAACCCTGGATCATGTGCAGATGGTGGAGTTGGAGTGGACCTACCGCACGCCACAAAGCAAGTTCACCGATTGATATATACGCTCTGTAAGACTGGTTTGTATGGAGACAGGTGTGCAAAATGGGAAGAGCAGTGCCTCATGACCCTGCTACTGCGGTAGAATTGGGATGGCGCTTCGACAGTCGTAACTGGCCTGAGCAAGGAGGGTACAATAGATGCATAGCGTTATCCACGCCAGTGACAAAAGGGTTATTGGCAACGCTTTTGTAGACTGAAGATTACCTCCCAACAACCTACCTTAGCAAAGTGGACACTACTTACAATTAAGCCTTACAACTATGAAATGTGACGTACTGAGAAAGTAGTTTTGAATAGCCATGCCGCCTAAATACTACTTGCCGCAGCATAGCCTATTCTCCCATCGCAGTATTGATTGCCGTTGCAGGAAACAAGTGTGGTTACGCAGCCCAATATTTTTCAGGCGGGACCATGAGCGTTCATTCCAACATATTCACTGCGGAGGCAATATTCTATTATCAGAGAATTAGACAATATCTAATCTAGGAATGCATGTTCAAAATGATCGCCCTCATTTTGCTTGCAGAACAGTATTCACCGGATGCTATTGGTTAGCACTCTCTGCAAAGTGTCCACAAATATGCCGCGACATTTCTCGACGATGTTCCTTTTCAGTTCCTTCAGACAAGTTATCCTGGCTTAATACACTCGGCACTTCAAGTACACGCATAGCAAGAAGTGCGGTTTAAATCAGGAGACCGTGCAGGCAAATCAATATATCCTCCATCACCGATCCAGCGGTTACCGAAAGTTTCGTTGAGGTAATAATGTACCGTTTGTGTAGAATGAGCAGGTGCACCATCCCGCTGTCACCAAACGGTACTCAATAAGTCTTTAACCTACAGCTGAGGAATGACCCTAAACTGTAACATTTCTTTGGACGAGGATGTTAATGAATGTGCAGCATTACTGCTGTAACAAAAATCCAGTTACCTGTCACATGCTTGGAAAAGAAAAATGGTCCTATACCTTTTCGCCGTGTCAACCCAGCCGATGCCATGAGTTGTGCACCATGTTGTGCACGCGAAGCGATGTATTGTTGTGGGTAATTGGTAGCTCAAACATGCCGCTTATCTGCGCTATGAAGACGAAAAAGTGCCTCATCCGTAAACACGGTGGTGTGCACGTCCATGATATCCAGATCCCATCTGGAAAATGCCATACGGTTCTCGCAATCGCATGGCTTCAGTATTTGAAACTACAGTGCACCATACCTACGGCATTTTCGTTCCTTCCATATACGTTGCTCAGAATATCGTTTGATGGCACACTGATGAGCAATTCTCCCAAAGCTTACAGCACCATTTCGGGCTACCTCATCAATAACAGCACAAGCGAGCATGTCATCTGTGACTGTACGAGGCCTGCCGGTTCGGTTTGAGTCGCACACACTCCTAGTTTGGTCAAATTTTTCAACTAGCCGACACACGTACCGCGAGTTAACTTACATCATTGTGCAGTTAGTAGAGTTGTAGCGGCAGGTCGTTCGTAAAATTTTCGTTGACACACCGAACAGCCGCATAAGGATCACGCCCTGGTCCACGGGCAGGATACGAGACTGCCGTTGAACAGAGTGGTCGTTCTGCTTGGCTTACGCAGCGAAATAACCGCGATGGCTGCGGGTAGCTTCAATAACTTTCGCCATATTCATTGCCCCTATCAAGACTAATCAGTTCGGAGAATGACTTTGTCAATGACTTCACGAGCGGTGGTGCCATCTGTCCATCCAGCGTTGTCACAACTCACCAGGCGCTTCGCGCTTTATACAGCATATGATTCCCAGTATCCTCGTGGATTACACATTGCCTAGAAATGCAGCTTCGCAATTCTCTGATAATAGAATATTGCCTCCGCAGTGAATATGTTGGAATGAACGCTCATGGTCCCGCCTGAAAAATATTGGGCTGCGTAACCACACTTGTTTCCTGCAACGGCAATCAATACTGCGATGGGAGAATAGGCTATGCTGCGGCAAGTAGTATTTAGGCGGCATAGCTATTCAAAACTACTTTCTCAGTACGTCAGATTTTATATTTGTAGGCCTTAATTGTAAGTAGTGTCTACTTTGCTTAGGTCGGTTGTTGGAAGTTAATTTTCAGTCTACAATAGCGTTGCCAATAACCCTTTTGTCACTGGCGTGGATAACGCTAAGCATCTATTGCACACTCCTTGCTCAGGCCAGTTACGACTGTCGAAGCGCCATCCCAATTCTACCGCAGTAGCAGGGTTATGAGGCACTGCTCTCTCCATTTTGCACACCTGTCTCCATTCAAACCAGTCCTACAGAGCGTATGTATCGATCGGTGAACTTGCTTTGTGGCGTGCGGTAGGTCCACTCCAACTCCACCATCTGCACATGATCCAGGGTTTTCACGATGGACGACACTGGCAGGTACACATGTACCCATATGCATGCATACGGTCGTTCTACACCCATGGGTGGTGTGACATTTGGAGATAGATCAACATTTACTATTGGACAGTTGGCAATTAAATGTGCTCCACCTCACACTCGAAGAAAAGACTCATTGTGACGCATAAGCAGAGTAGAGTGACCAAAGTATTGGGACTGGCTGTGGAAGTTCCATATTTCTCGTGTTAAGCTGCATGCGTTTACACTGTAATGTGTTATGTTAACCCGTTTCCACTGATTCTGCACTACCGTACTTTTGGTCCGACAATTATTTTGTACTAACCTACGATTTGCGTTTCACTTCCTTACAGTGAAGGAATTATTCTTGACATATGAAAAATGTGGCCACAATTCAGGTTTTACTATAAGTGTGAACTACTTTGAAATCTACTGCAACAAAGTAAGTTGCATATTGTATCCAAAGTCCTATTTAATTCAGGTAGGCGACTGTTGAAGTTTCCCTGTGACTGGTAAACATCTTAAAGATGTATTGCATTCTAGTTAAACTAGCTATTTCTCCCCATTACGACCAGTGGTTCGTTGCCTCAGCCATTTTTTCTCCCGTCCATGAATTGTAGATGCTTGTTTGTATGGGTTCAGCAAACCCAATTTATTTCAGTTTTGATAAGTAACATCCCGTTTATAATTCCAACTAATGGCATCAGAAGTCGAAGGTTGCCATTTTTCTGTACAGGTCATCTCGACGGCTTTTTCTATGTTGTGAATTTGCGTTCCGACTTTATCTTATTTTCGCTCGGATAATAATCCCTGTATCTTATTGTATTAATGGTTGTCTGGTTAAAATTGCAGCGCTTACTAGATTGCTAAGAACTCTCTCCGCAGTGCTTCTGCCGTTACAATCATGGACACCTGGTTGAAGTGGTATTGACTGCTGCTTGATGCACCCGTTTCTGAATTGCGTCCGAATGATTATAACATACACACTTTAACCTTGTAAACAGGCTGGCCAGCTGCTGCATGCACTTATCGTTTAGCTTTTTGCACCACCGTCCTTTGGGTAACGAAGGTTGCTATGGTAACTTGCAACGCGCCAGCTCGCCTCGATTACTGATTCTCCAAACTTTTTGGCAAATTTCGCAGCATCCTTCAACACCTTAAAGCGTATTTTGCTCATTTATGTTTTGCTGTTTTTGTTCGAAGCGCCAGCATAACTACCTCAAACTGAACCATTCTACGCCATGCATTTTATAGACATAATGATTTGGATCGTTAGAGCTGGAATTTTCACACAATATCTATTGTGGTGTTTTCGTTTGTATGCTTTCCAACAAAATTTCACGATTGAACCAATGCAGTCTACCCATTGAATAATGCGATGGGCAGCCATAAGCTTCTGGCTCCTGAATGTTGATCTATTCAGGTGAAAACAACTAGCTGTGCTAATGATTGATTTGTGACTGTGCTTCCCATCATAATGAGAGCAGACTATAACGTAGTGCCACGACCTACATGCCTAAGTTATCTATTCGGCTGGGTAGGATTTCCGTATTTCACCATCAAATCCCATTACGCTAGCTTTTCTAACAGTTAGTGGCCAGATAAATATTTTAGCCGTCAGTGTTGATTTTTGGAATAAAGGTGGATACGTATTCCTGAAACGAATCCTTGTAATCCACAGTCCAACTCTCACCGCCATACGATCAGGTTCATGAAACAGCGGCATTGTATGAGTGCACCATTCACTGCATCCAAAATTGGGCAGCATGACAATCTCTTACGCGCGCAGTACCGTAATTATTATAAAAACCTTAATATCTAGGCTGCCATATCAGAAGCTGGTGAAGTCTCAAGTAGTATAGAGGAAGGCCTTATCGCTCCTGCCCGTCTTCATCACATTTTCGCTCGTTTTACGCTCAAGCTGAAGAGTAGAGTAGTGACTATAAAGCTGTTGTCCACTCATCTCTTCTGTTAGGCTGAACAAATTGGCACATCAAATAAATAGACCTAGATGCTATCGACACTCAGCGACCAGTAGTATCGTTGTTTAGCTTATAAATGTGGGCACATTGAAGAAGCATTCAATGCGTTCACCATTTTGGTCATGGTGCAAGAAGCGCTAGTGAAACCTTCAGCGCCACTAGTTCACACTGGCTGGGTCTTGCTAGCGTATGAAATGCTGCGAATTTTGCTCTTTGGACCGCTGGGATGTGAAGCCAGAAAGATATGCAGCATAGTGAGCATAGTGAATGAAACACATAGTCCTGTTTATTTTCCGTTTCGATCTGCCGTATTTTTCTCGTTACAACACCAAATGATCGAGTCAGGTTACGGCAAAATAGCCGAGGTGTTTCTCATCTTAGGTTAATCCAAAAAATTATGATGCATATGAACATGCGTCTTCAGCAACATGATTATACAAACCTCTTCAACTTGTGGTTTATGCTATGTCCTCAAAAGCACTGCGCACACACGCGATGATTCAAACTAATTACAAATAATTACACCGAATTTCAGTATTCTAATAAATAGTCAGCATCAATGGAGACCCCTGCATGGTCAGAATTATTGTGCTACGCGACTAGAGGTCAACACACCAGTGAGGTTTAAAAGTGAAGGTTAACTCCTATAAGTGTAGGGGAACGAAGTAAGCAAAATAAAAAGTGGAAATATTCCTTAATTCTTATGCTGTGCTTTTTGAACGTACCCTTTTTTGCTATATACATGGGACCAGTGTGTATACTTCCCGATAGAGAGCTCGGCCGTTTGTCATTTGCAAATGACTCTTGCTGCTGTTGGCCTTGACGCACAACTAACGTCAACCGGCTAGCTAAGCTATCCTTGGCTACTTCATTTTACTTCCCAGGTGTATGATCTTCTTAATAAAAAGCGACCACTTAGGGTGATGGAAGATTCAGTTGGATCGGTTCAACTGGTGGGCCTCAGAGAATATCGGGTCGAGGATGTACAAACCGCACTCTTGCTCCTTCGTAATGGCTACCAGTTGCGAACGAATGGGCAGACGACATCAAATGAACATTCAAGTAGATCACATGCCATTTTTCAGGTGGGTTTGGAAGGCAGGTTAAAAGAATTGTCATTACTGATATGAAATCATTGTAGTGTGTTATTGAGGAACTTTGAAAGGATGTGACTGTCGATAGAAAACCTTCATTTTACTAACTTGCACTATGGAATACAGAAAACGCATATTGTGAGAAAACGGCATTATTTCGTGCGGTCTTGGTAATCATAGAATTATCCGCATTCCTCAAACCAATTTACTGGACATAGCCTCGACCGAATTCTTATCTTTTCGAGGAGCTATTCCGCATGGAAGCAGGTCCACAAGAGATGGTCGTTTGAATGAGTTTGTCACTTTACCTACACGTATAACTATAAACGTAATTATGAGTATTGGAACAGTACAGCATTTCTAATACATCTGCTTCATCGACTGCTCTAAAAGTCCCTTTGGCGGTCGCACTGAACAACTAGAGCAATTGTCTAGTTTATGCGATCCCACTGCACAAGCTCATCGGACTATCTTATTAAACTGTCTCATAGTATCGTGGCACATACTAGCTAGTCTAATAATCTATGGAGGATGTTCATATACACAAAAGTCCCACATTGACACCCTCGGTAGCTCCATGAGCCTACTGGTTACGTGACATATCGGCGCTGCTTAACGCATGAGGCTCTTTTTCGTCTTGGTTAACGGTCATTCCTTCCAGTTGCAGTTAAAAAAGACCACGTGATCAAGGGAACAATTATCTTACCCTTGGCAAACCGCCATGTAATTAACACCACGGTCAAGCAACAGTCTTAGAAGTTAGCGTTCGCTGAACATGATAGTCACATCGCTCTGACTCATTCGAGCTGCTACACTCGACTGAGTTTCCTTCATCACAAAGGGGAACTCCATCTGCTTGGGTTTGATTGCCTCAGAAAAATGTGGGATTTTATCTGGTCTGCCTCTACGGGCAACCTACAGTGCAGTGCAATGTCCGGTTGCACCGATTGATCAAACTGACAACATCCAAAATTGTTCAACCAGTGTTCTGTCCTTTGTACACACAGTCGGGCCGTGCTCTAGTTCGTATCCAAGACATTTCTTTCCAAAGTGACCGTCCCTTTCACAGTCATAGCTCTTGTCAATACCGAAGACGGATGATTAAAAGCCATGAGAAATGTATTTTGGGCATCGCGATTCGTATTGCTGAAGAAGCCGAACGGATCTCTCCCAACTTGTGCAAACCTCACAAATTGCGTCATACTTCGTTGGAAACGGTATATTACACACAATGTACTTCAGCTGAATACCTTACTAGGCTCAGTGTTGTATGTAGTTCATTAGGTCAGCAACAAAACAATTACCTATGGAACTGTTGGATTCCTCAAGAATCACATGGTATTTATTGGACTCTGATCCCCAACTCGGTGTTCGTGCATCACGCAATGAAAACTCAAACTCCAATGACACCACTCGTGACAGCCCACTGCCGTGCTTACGAAGAAGCTGGCAACCGTACAGAGCTTTCCTTGGCAGAGTTAAATGCATCAAACGATCAAACATGACACGGTCTATCATATGTTTACTACGGATGCCTAAAGTTATAACGCTACCTAGCTAATCGCATCTTCCGGTTTTACTATCCAAAATGTGATGCCGATATCTGATAAAGATAGTATACCTCAAAAGCCATTTTCATAAGTGGTCTTCTAGGTTTTATGAAGGAAACATGATTCTACACATAATGCTGTCTTCGCAGCTAACTAAATTCTGGTGGGAACACAGCTTGCGAGATGCGTCTGTCGGCGTCGTATATTCGGTGCAAACAGCGAGTGAACCGCTGAGCCATGTTATCTCACGCACCAAACTTTGATAGCTGGGCCAGGTGTTGTGCATACCAGCACGCCGAGTCCTGCGACTTTCCCTATTTGCGTGAAGTGGGTGCGGATGGAAGATGAAGTGGGGTGGTCAAGCGATACCTTGGTCAAATGGAAGGAAGTCACTTACTTCCTGCCAGGCTAGTGTCCCAAGGACGGTGAACACGTTTGTTTGGATACACGAGCCGACGTTATTGGCGTTTGTGATGTGAGTTTCTTCGTCTTCGTCCTCCACTTTAACCTTCCGTCCAACGGTTATCCCATGCCCGATGCATACAATGTTTATGGCATTATAATCATATATTTATTTTAGCTTATATAGTCTGTAGTGTTCAATACCTTAGATTTGCACTGCGGTACATCTGTGTGTTCGGCACTCTCAGCTATCGTGTCTTGATAATGGTGCTGAAGTTTGAATGAATATGAGGTTAATTTCTGATACTATAAAACAAATCGAACTTTTTAGTTTGGGAATATAGAGGAAACACTGCAAGCTCGTCAGTAGCAAAACTACAGACCCTCAGGGTATTCAAATCTTGAACTAGTAGGAGACTTAAACAAAACATTTCATGGTCTCTGAGCAGACAAAAAGTTTCCTGGAATCTTGCCATATCAAATCTCGGAGGCATGAAATAGTTCAATACAAAAGTAGCGAAAAGAGCTGGTGGCCACGTGTACAACTGGATGAACCATTGCAACAAGCCCTGAGAGCCTGTCATTACGTGACATAGCATACCGTATCCATTTCTTAGTATTATGGAAGAAATTGGGAACCATAAGAGCGGTACTGACTTCCGTTGCAACTATTTTATCAATGTACAACTAGTACATGGCACCCGCAATATGTTCGTTCAGGAAGAGTAGTGATCTCGTCGTTTCCCTAGAATTTCCTTTTCGTAGCTTTATATACGACAAGCGTCATGTGTAGTTAACCTCGCTGCAGTTAGCCACGTGATTTGTTAATGCTTTTAAGGTAAAGCATTTCAGGGACTAGCGATAGTTTGAACTTACCGATCTTTACGCAACTGCATAGGGTTGGCATCACCTTGGCTACTGCTTCAGCCCCTATTCAAGGAAGATTATCATGCGAGTCGGTACGCGTCAGTTACCTAAGTGCAAGCCGTTTCCATTAAAGGGATTGCGGAAAATACCATGACTGTCTGGTATGTTCGACCCGATGCAGTATATAACCACTGCTGTTCACGAAACGGCTAATCGTAAGACGCCAGCAGCTCTGGCTGCGTGTTTCACCGTCCCTTTTCTCGCGAATTCATTCGGTTAGCCAACACATCTACAGCTCTTGCCCACTGTAGATGCCTCCGAATGTTCCATGTTTCCGTGACCTGGGCAACAATTAATTCCCCATCTAACGGCATGTGTGTCCCTTGTTCGATCTTCCATGCCAGCACTGCAGTTATCATTGAATAAACAAATGAATTCTAGTTGATTGATTGCTTACTGTACCTGGATGTTTCATCACTTGAAGTCATACCGGGCTCGTTAACCCGTCCATCTATGGAAACCCACATGGTCTGGTCAATATCTATGCTTTACAAGTTTCACACCGATGGACCACAAGCGTGTACTGGTAAAAATCTTGTTCTCTGATGCCTGGCGTATCTGCTCTAGCGAATGTCCTATTGAAGAGTTGGAAACAATAACCGGAGCGCTCATGGAAGAGGGTTACCCTAAGCATCTCATCACGAATCATAGTCAAGTCGGACTACCGAAAGAAACGGTTTTTACAGTATCTCAGGAAAATGTATACCTCGATCTCCCGTTTAAGGGTAACACCGCTTCTACGAGGGCAACCAAGCGTTTAATCTCCACCACTGCGAAAACCTACTGCGCTGCACATTCTGTGGTGATAATCAGAATCCGGAAATTGTCGCTACTTCCAGTAAAGCAAGTGGAACTTATCAGTGTCAAATCACATTGTATTTACCAATTTGATTATACCTGCGGTGTCAGTTAGATAAACAAGAATGTGAGTGTTTTGAATTCCATAGTGAAGGAACACCTGACCTAATGCGATCAACGTGAGGTCAGCCATCTCGCCCAATATTCCGTGTGCACGCAAAAGTAAGCATGTTTTATTGACCAGTTATCGGCTTGACCCCGGCTCTGCATTGCAATCCACGCTTCTTGCGGTTCGCCGAGGCCGTGGCGACAAACCAACTGATACCTGCCCTGTGAGTGCAGAAACAGTCTGTAGTTGAGCTACGGATACCCCAGTCCTAGGATGATTGCGGCCGTTAATCTCACGACATTGGATTGGTTGGTAACACCAATGGGAAAGGTATAAGATAATTTATAGCTATTGTATTGGTACTGATGAGACAGTATGTAATGCGTTCAGGTACCAGTGATCTTCTCGTTGCGTTGTTCAAACTTTTGAAAGGAATGAACTATAAAAGAACAGATAGTTTGTTTATCGGCTGTGCGGGAGACTATGATGGTATATGGACAGATCAAAGATGACAGGAATACGTTTACTGAAACCGGTCACACATGCAATTTTACTGTCCAACTGACGCAAAACGAACTTTGGAGTAGTGTGTGAACCACTGGTGTGCATCCGTTCACACACGAATTACACGGTGCGGCCAAATTTAGCGACAATTCTTGCCGTAGTTACATCGCTCGCACGTGTTCACTTGTGTCCCCGGTACGCTATGCCACGTAATTACAGGCTATCAGGGCTTGTTGCAATCGTCCATCCAGTTGTACACGTGGCCACCAGCTCTTTTCGCTACTTTGCCCCGACCTCAGTCGAGCTGTGCATCATGTGGCTGTCACCACCGTGCCAGTGCAGTCCACCGTTGCTGGTTCCGCACGTACGTTCGGTCTGTGGCTACCGAGTACGAGGCTTGCATACATGACCTGCCGGACGGTTCGATCAAACCGCCGCACGTTCGATAGTTGCACCTCATCCAGTCTGTTCATATACGCATTGCCTTTGGCGATGCACACTGGATTAGCGATCGAAATTTCGAGTGTTGTCCGTAATACTCACCTAACTTCAACGACAATATCCAGGTAAATCACATGCACTCAATGTAGCCATACGTAGGCGGGACAGTCTTGCATTTCAAGCTGCTGGCTCTTTTATTTAGAAATGCTAAGCGGGGCGCAGTAATGCACCACTTCGAGGTCTTAAACCTCAGAATGTTC